CATCGCTGTGGCCAGGAGCTCTGCATGCTCCAGACTGACCCAGCCTGAGGCTGCCTGCTGGGCTGACCACTGGTCCACTGATATCCCACGGCGGGGTTGTCCCCAGACCCTCCCCCACCTGGCAGCCAGGACAGAGCCCACGGGACCCAGGGCTGAGCCCCCAAGCCCAGCATTAGCTGGTTCTCCACAGCTGGGCAGGGCCGGGCTGCAGCCGGGCAGTAGCTGGCTGTGTCCAGTCTCTGTGCCCGGCCTGCAGTCCGACCTGAAGCTACGTGGAGCCCCCTCCCCGGCCGGGAGCGTCTCCCAGGGGCCCAAGGCTCAGGAGTGCTCACTCAACAAGGCAGAGTGTCCTGTCTGGAGCACACATGCTCCACAGTGGGACCAGGGTTGGTGAGCTCCCGACCCCTGGGCCTGCCAGGTGGGCCACCACCCACAACCCTGGCCTCTAAGAGTCTCATGGTGACAACTGTGACTGCTGGAAAGCCAACGCCCAGGTTTACTCACTTCCTTCAAATACCACCTGGCCCTAGAAGAAAACTCCATCTCATTCCAAAGAGAAACCAGAGCCTCCTCTTAAGGAAACTGAAGTCAGTGGCTGCAAAGTGATGGCAGACAGGGTCCAGGGCCAGGCTCGGGCAGCCGCTGTGTCAGGGCCGAGTCGGGCCTGGCTGGTTCCATCCAGCCTCTGGTTCCACGGCCAGATCCTCTGCACCCCACATACTCCAACATTGTGCAAAGTGGCTGGAATCTGCCTGCCCCCGCAACCCCTGGCTGAGTGAACAGCGAGCATGGGCACCCTAGCCCCAGCCAAGCTTCAGTGTGGACAGAGTGCCAGCCCCAGGCGAGGGCCCTTCCCAAGTCCAAAAGGGCAAACTGCTTGTCAAGAACCTTCTGGGCTCATAAAACATCATCCAGCCGTGAGTAAATAGTAAGTAAGAGGACACCCAGAGCAGGCTCCACGCAGCCGAGTTATCGACACAGCACAACCAGCGTGGGCCCTGCAGTGTGACGCCTGCTGTGCCAGCGTGGAAGGCAGAGCCGTCCAGGTGTCCTCGCTCCCTTCCTGGCGTGTGCCCAGGAGGAAGGGTCGGGGGGTGCTGTAAGGAGGTGTGAAGGGTCAGTGAGATGTCCTGAGGGCCTCCTCCTCCACTGGGGAGACGGCATCTCGCTGCCGGGAAGGAGGTCTCTGGCCTGAATTTGTCAAAATAAGGGTCCACAGGGCCCCGCTCCCATGGAAGATGAGGCTTGTCCTGAGGTGAGAAGAAGGGGGCCATGGTGCCTGGGGGTGGGGGGGGGCAGCTCTCCCAGCCCAGCCCCCCATCACTCAGCCACCGAGCCCTGCCTGCGCCCTGAAATGTAGCTGGGACCATATGACTCCTGCAGCTCCTGGAATCTGACCGCAAGGTCTAGATGTTCCCAGGAAGAAAACAGGGCAGAAGCAGCCACCTGGGGGCGGAGCAACCATGCTCAGCCCAGCGTCTGCCAAACCTCGCCAGGTGGCCTGGGGCAAGGCAGCAGCCAACTCAACTGGGAAGGCCTCTGGTGGGGAGGGGGGAGCCTGCACCTCTGGTCTCCAGGACTCACTGGAACCGTGAGGTCCTGCCGCCGAGGGGCTCAGGGCCCCGGGGGAGCTGGGATGGGATCTTAAGGGGCTGGAGGAGCAGAGGCTTCTGGCTTCAGGCTGGAAGGTTCTGCCGGCAGTTCTGGTGCGTATCACGTCACACACGCCAGGAAGGGGCAAGCGGGGAGAACGCCCGAAGGGCCTTTACCTGCCGGCCGGGTGAGGACCACACCCTGGCTGGGCTGGACTTCCAGGCAGAGCAGGTATGATCAGCAAGCTTTGTGTGGTTTCAGCCACGACTCTGCTGCCCTGCTGGGCGGGTTGTGTTTGCACGCTGTCTGCCCCAGGAGCTTCTCTGGCTCCAGAGACTGGGGCGGCCGGACGGGTTCCGGCCCACTTCCTGTGGGGCCTGAGCCTTCCTGCTGGTTCCAGTAGGGGCAGGCCCTGTGAAGCCCTCCTTCCAAAGCTCAGGCCCCCAACCTCTCCCCACTCTGAAACCACTCTTTTCTCTTTGGGCCATTTTGCGACACAAGCAGGAAGGAGAGAGGAGGATGAAGACATGGAAGGTCAGAGGGAGGCCTCTTAGCCACGGGCAAGTCCAAATCCCACGCCCCCAGCAGTGCCGTGGCCGGACACACAACCTCGTACGTGCACGTGTGTGTGCGTGCATGCGTGCACAACCAGAAGACACTGGCCTGAGTGGCACCTGCAGTGGGGCTGTCCAGAGGCCACCAGTGCTGCCCCCACGCCAGTCCCAGAGAGAGGCCGGACCCCTGTCGAGATTCACACGTGTTCAGCTTCCCCACGTGGCCCTCGGCCCCCAGCCAGTGGAGAAACCACGTGGCCCGGCATGGGCACCAGGCTCCTCACGGCAGGGCTCTCTGTCACCTGTGCCCTGGGACAAGGCCAACCTCCACCCACCTCGATCCCCCAGTGCAGTCAGGGCTGGGCCAGGGCCACCGGCAGGGGACACAGCACACCCACTCGGGCCACTCAGAGGAGAGGCCCGGCGCACAGTAAGGACGCCTCAGTGTCCCCGTCCAGCTCCTGTCTGGTGCAGACATGGGCCACGATGACCTTCAGACCTAGTGTGGCCGGCTCACAGAGGTGGCCAGAGGGGTGGAGAGCTCCAGGGGGCAGGCAGGCCACCCTAGAGGGGGAAGTTGGGTGCTTCCCCAGGGGGTTGGAGGGTTAGAATGCTGGCCTGGTCCCCAGGGTGCCAAAGTGCTGAGGCTGCTCATTGGCCCCAAGCCAGCTACAGGGCCTGCTGTGAGCTCCAAGCAAGTGCCACGCAGGCCTCGTGCACCAAGACTGCCATCTGCAGGGAGAAGGCGGCCGTGCAGGGGCCCCGCTGTCCACCAGAAAGGCACCCGGATGGATGTGAGCAGAGAGGGGAGCCAGGACCCTCTAGTAGCCGTGTCGCCAAGAATGAGAACAAGCAGGTGAAATTAACATAAGGCATCGGGATTGCAACACACGATCAGTATGAAACATTACGAATGGGCCTTTTCACGTTCTTCTCCCAGTGAGTCCTTGAATTCTCGTGTACGCCCACTTTTAACCCAGCTTCCTCTCCAGGGCTCCCTGGCACCTGCGGCTCGTGGCCACTGCATTAGACAGCGAGGCACTGGAGAGTGGAGACACCACAAACCGTGGCTTGAGAAGAAGGCAGGTGGCGAAATAATACAACCCTGGTATTGTAAAATATCCAGATGTTACCAGAATATCCGTATGTCATCAATTAGGCCCACTGTTGACCAATTTCTCTCTCCAGGAGACAGGACGACAGGGGCCTCAGAAAAGTGCCGACCCCAGTGGTGTGCGGTGGGACACAGCCGCCCGAATGCCCACCGGCCCACTGGTGGGCTTCCTGACCACACGTGTGGACCTTCCTCAGGGACCGAGTGATCTAGGGGCACATGTGGGGCCTGGGACAAAGGCAAGACCTTCTCGGTCACAGGGGCACAGCTCAGGGTGGCCAGAAGACCCCAACCGTGGCTGTATTTAATCCAAGTAGACATGTTTTTCTAAGAAATCAGAATTAGCCCAGTACAAAAAAAAAAAAAAAAAACACGACATGGTTCTCAGTCTTCACCCCGCTCTGAGCCTCAGTACCGTGTTCTCAGCAAGGAGGCCCCGCTCTTGTGCCCAGGCTCACAGGGGCTCCCTGGGCCGGCCTGGCTCCGGACAGGGTGGCACCACGGACCCAGCACCGCCATCCAGCAGAGCATCAGGGCGCCAAGTCCCCTGCCCAGCAGCTCGGAGGGGGGGGGACAGGGGACCGCGGGGCTCCAGGCTGGCCTCTGGGAGAGAATGTGGACAAGGCTTGGAGTCGGACACACGCTGGACATAGCCAAGGAGACCCAGGAAATCCTGGAAACCCTCGTTTGAGGACGTGGGGGAGAAAGGAGGTCCAAGTTTCAAGGCATGCTGGGCTTCAGGGGGGCCTCTGACACCCTGGGAGGGCCAGGAAGAGGCTGGAAGGGGCTTCTTGGCCCCAGACCCCCAGGAACACTGAGACTTGCTCACTCACCTGGTGTCCGCCCACCCGTCCCAAACCTAAAGGCCCCCTGGGTCACTCACACAGGAAACGGGCCTCAGAGTGAGGGTTAGGCCCTCGAATCAAATCATCTGACCCGATCTAAGCAGATCGCTCAGAGCTGATGTAGTCTATCGCCACCACCCCCACCCCACATCCAAATACCCAAGGCAGCCACGTTTTAAGTAAGTCTCTGCAGCATCCACAAAACAGTACACCCTCTGAATGGCCACAGTCAAAACCACCTAGAGTCAGGCAGAACGACACTCTGATGTCTGAGATGGCCTAGAGAGCCACACCTGGACACTGCAGGGCACCTCCACGCACAGCACGTGCCTAGATCCCGACAGACGCCCGACGGCGACCCGTGTGAGGCCAGGCTGACTTCCCGGCAGAGAAGAGACTCTGGAGACGGAGGCTCAGCTCCCAAGTGTCCCTGACTCATCCCTGACAACACACCTGCCATCTTTAGGTGAGAGAGACAGACAGGTGGAGGAAAAGGACGGGCAGTGACCAGAGGAGTCGATCACACCGCAGCTGTAACCTCCGGGCAGACTGACCCATCTGCCAAGCGGCCAAGAGGCACGAGGCCCAGGCTCTGTGGGCAGCGGGCTCAGTGGCCGGCCAGAGCCTTTAGTGCATGGTCTCCGCACGGCACCCTTCTCCAACCCCCGGCCTGAAACTCAGACCCCGTATCGAAAGCTGCTTTCCCCACCGCTCTCTGCTACTAACACGCACCCAGGCCTGTCCAGGGGGCAGTTAACAAAAAGTCACCGGATCCCCACAGTCTGCTCTTCCATCTGGAAGGAGGAATGACCTTTATTTCGGAGACGAAAACCGATACCCTGGAATCCACGAGGCAGGCAGGCCGGCAGGGGCAGGCTCCCACGGGGCGCTTACCTGAACTTCCCGGTCCGCACCTGCAGAGCTCTCATCCCGTACCGCTGGGCACCGCCCACGTCACCCACGATGTCGTCCCCGATCATGATGGCCTGTGGGGCAGATGGCAAAAGGCGCAGAGAAGCGGTGTCAGGACGGCTTTCTTCCTGCACTCCCTCATCGTTTCTGACATCGTAAACCTCTTGATTTGATGTTTCAAACCACCATCGTACACATTAAACAAGGTAACACTGTCGTCATATTGACTAAAAGTCAACCCGCTTGAATATATCTCCCACTGCCCACCATGGGCTGCAGCTCTGAATGGTGCATGTCTGGGCAATGTAAAATCAACCGACAGGTATCAAAGTGATACGAGGTGGGCTTCCCTGGTGGCTGAACGGTAAAGGATCCGCCTGCCAATGCAGGGCACACAGGTTCAATCCCAGATCTGGGAAGATCCCTCACGCCAAGGAGCAACTAAGCCCGTGCCCCGCAACTACTGAGCCTGGGCTTGAGCGCTGAGGGGTCACAACTACTGAAGCCCTAGAGGCCTAGAGCCCGTGTCCACAACAAGAGAAGCCACCACAATGAGAAGCCCACGCTCCGCAACCAGAGAGCAGCCCCTGCTCCCCACAACTAGGGACAAGCCCGCGCAGCAGTGAAGACCCAGCACAGCCAGAAATAAACAAACAGGCGCCACAGGGACACATGGGGGGTTGAAACTGTCTCACCTCTGCTCGAATACAGGCTGAATTTTACCGTCAGCCTAAAACTCTATGGAAACAGTGGCTGACTTTATTTCTTGGGGCTCCAAAATCACTGCAAATGGTGATTGCAGCTATGAAATTAAAAGATGCTTACTTCTTGGAAGGAAAGTTATGACCAACCTAGACAACATATTAAAAAGTAGAGACACTACTTTGTCAACAAAGGTCTGTCTAGTCAAGGCTATGGTTTTTCCAGCAGTCATGTATGAATGTGAGAGTTGCACTATAAAGAAAGCTGAGCGCCGAAGAATTGATGCTTTTGAACTGTGGTATTGCAGAAGACTCCTGAGAGTCCCTTGGACTGCAAGGAGATCCAACCCTAAAGCAGCCCATCCTAAAGGAAATCAGTCCTGGGTGTTCATTGGAAGGACTGATGTTGAAGCTGAAACTCCAATATTTTGGCTACCTAATGAGAAGAGCTGACTCTTTTGAAAAGACCCTAATGTTGGGAAAGATTGAAGGCAGGAGGAGAAGGGGACGACAGAGGATGAGAATGGTTAGATGGCATCACCGACTCAATGGACACAAGATTGGGTCAACTCCGGGAGTTGGTGATGGACAGGGAGGCCTGGCATGCTGCAGTTCACGGGGTCGCAAAGAGTCAGACACGACTGAGCGACTGAACTAATACTGAAAAACTCTGTAGAGCTTCCCTTGGGGCTCAGCTGGTAAAGAATCCTCCTGCAATGCAGGAGATAGCCAGAGGCTCGATCCCTGGGTTGGGAAGATCCCCTGGAGGAGGGAAAGGCTACCCAGTCCAGTATTCTGGCCTGGAGAATTCCATGGACAGGGGAGCCTGGTGGGCTACAGTCTGTGGGGTCACAAAGAATCTGACATGACTGAAACGACTTAGCACACACACAAAAATATCCAGCACTCAAAAAGGTAAAATTTAATAAAAATAAATCCCATCCAATTAAAAGAACGATCAGAGATGCAAAGATGGCAAAAAATCACACACAATGAAGAGGAAAATCAACCAAAACTGAACTGGAACTGACCCAGATGTAAGAATTAGCAGACAAGGGCATTGAAGCAGTTGTTATAACTGTATTCCATATGTTCCCAAGGTTAAATAGAGACATATATCTAAATCATGCTTCTAGAAGGGAAAACTACAATGTCTGCAATGAAACGCAAAAACACTCGATGAGATTAAACCCAGGTAAGACAATGAGGAAAAATAGATTAATGAATTTGAAGACACAGCAATAGAAACGATCTCAAATGAAACACAGAGAGGGAAAAAAAAATATTTTTAAGAAAATGAACAGAGAGAGTGAACTATGATGAAACTTCAAGAGGCCTGGTGTAACTGGAATCCCTGAAAGCAAGATGTTCAGAGAGGAGACGGAAACAATATTTGGAGAAGTAATGTCTGAAAAATTTCCAAACTCAACAAAAATGATAAGTCCACAGCTCCAAGATCCCAATCAATACCAAGCACAAGAAACATGAAGAAAGTTACATCGAAGCACAACATAATCAAATTGCTCAAAACCAATGACAAGGAGAAAAACTTAAAAACAGCTGCAAGACTTGGAGAATGAATTTAGGGTTGCCGGGAGGAAGGACTGGGAGGAGGGACAGAGAGTTTGGGATGAACAGATACACACTGCTATATTTAAAATGGATAACCGACAAGGACAGTTAAGAGGCCCAGACCACAGAACTGCTGAACAGTTACCAACTGAAAGAGTCGGGGGTGAGTGGCACAGTCAGCATTCGTGTTGCTGAAACCTCAGTCGTCACTGGTAGGTGTCCTTTCAACACACCAACCTGCGTGATGAATATTACCATTTAAATGGATTCATATTCTTTAAGTGAAAGTGGCTCAGTCGTGTCTGACTCTTTGCGACCCCATGGACTCTAAAGTGCATGGAATTCTCCAGGCCAGAATACTGGAGTGGGTAGCCGTTCCCTTCTCCAGGGGATCTTCTCAACCCAGGGATCAAACCCAGGTCTCCCGCATTGCAGGAGGATTCTTTACCAGGTGAGCCACAAGGGAAGCCCAAGAATACTGGAGTGGGCAGCCTATCCCTTCTCCAGTGGGTCTTCCTGACCCAGGGATCGAACCAGGATCAATTCTTTACATAAATAAATGTATTTTTAAAGAAGAAAAAGAGCAGCCTCCCTCACTCAACTACCGCGCTGATAAAAAGCTTCAAAATATTTTCAGGAAATGATTCTGCTAGTGCAAGTGAAGTCTAACACGTCAGACACCAAACGCATTCCAGATACGTTCCCAAGTCTGATCAGAAATGTCCTTGGTCGGAGGTCAGCCAGGCCCAAGGAACCAGGCTCCCGGGACACGGTGAGTGTCCCGATGTTGACAGGGAGAGAGGCTTTGAAACTGACAATTATCCCACAAGTTTCTCTGAAATTCAGATGCTGGGTAGGGCCAACCAGAGAACAAATGTAGAAACCAAAACCAAGAAAAGTAAAAGTGACGACCGTGAAGCAGTCACAAATGAGGGGACTTGTACCCATCTATCTGAACTCTGCCTGTGAGGAGTCCAGACGGAATGTCCCTTCCATCTCCGAGTGGGAGGGGTGGAGACAGGGAATACAGAGGCCGGCCCTATGCGACCAGCAGACTAGTCAGACTGAGCTCAAGGTTCAGATGGAGCCAGAGAAAGTCGGCCGGGGTCCCAGCTATGTGATATGCTAGCCCTGCAATCTCATGATCCACTTCAGTCTGTACAATGGGTACAACTAATGTGATGTTTAAACAGAAACACGGAAGTTAAGCATCCAGGGCAGTGCCTGGACACAGTAAGTTATCGGCACATGTTTAAAAGGAAAATATATTAGGAAACGTTTTACTGAGGAAACTCCTAATCTAACCCTATTAGAGACAGACCACAGTCCTCACGATGGGCCTCCAGCGCCCCAGCCCGTCTGTATCGGGTCCTCTATGGGCCGGGCGGTGGGGACACAGTGACTTAGAAACACAGCCCCCACCCTTGTGAAGCTTGCAGTGGAAGGCGGAAGACAGATGTTCGTGAGGTAATTTCACACACACATGGCCAGGACCTGCGATAAAGCGCAGGGGGGGGACAAAACGCAGGATGTGGTCAAACCTGACCTCATGGGGCTCGCAGTGGTCAGGGAAGGCTTCCTGGAGGAGGTGAGGTTTTGAGCTTCAATCTGAAGGGCAACAGGTGTCCATCAGGCTAGGGGGTACAGGAGGAGGAAGGGCGAGAGCCTTCCCAGAAGGAGACACCACATGTATGTCAACCACAGGTCAATAAACGTGAAGCGAATGTCCTTGGAAGCGTCTCCCAAATGGGCCTTCAAATAATGAGGAGTCATGAAGAGCTTGTGGCCAAGGGGACAGGGGCTGGGCTGGTGCTGCCCCAGGAGCCAGGAAGGCAGTTTCAGGTGAACACAAGGGTTTTCTAAAAATTAGCGTGGACTGCCTCAGAGGTACCAGACCCTGGTCACTTAATCATATTCCAGCAGAGACCAGAGGGGCCTCCATCACAGAAGCTACTGCAGGACACGGGCCCTAGGGAGCTTGAGCAGGTGGCTGATGACCGCGAGGGCTGAGAATTCCGCGGACCGCTTGGAGCTGCGCCCCCTGCGGGACATACGAGGTACCTGAAATAAACTGCATTTCGTCCCAGTAATGTTCTCAATTTCATACTCCTCTGGGCTTTCCTCCACCCAAACTCTTGTTCGCCAGTGTGTGTTACACGTACAGTTGAAGCACGATTTGATTTTAGGTAGAACAGGATGTACATTTTTAATACAATCGTTTGTATTTATTTTTAGAGTAATCTATGTGTGGTGAGTGATTCTGGTTTCCCATTTAGAGTAGGGATCAAAAGCTTCTTTTAGAATACACTTAAGTTTATAGAATGAATCAATTTAGAGAAACATTAAGTTAATAATAGTGCCAGGGGGCAAGTATACAGATATGGTAAAGCTGGATTTTTTTTTTTTCCCTAGAAAGTGATGCTGGGGAAAACACTGTCAAATCCAGATGGGTTCATTTTCGGGCCTACAAGTTCCCATGCAGCTGTGTGGAAATCATCCATCACCCAAGAAGAAACAGCCAGTGACAACCCGTGTTCCCTGAAGTGGGACCCACCCCAGAGACGCTACACACACATGTGAGTCTAAGGTTACCTGCAAAGCCAGGTCACCTGGGCAACCACACAGCTCACCTGGCAAGAGAGGGCTAGGGCAGGTGGGCACCCGGCCGAGGCAGCAGGCCGGCCATAAGCTCCAGTGGGAGGTTCTATTTTGACTTCTCAGGGAGCTGTCCTGACACTGTCAGGTCAGCCTCTAAACACCCACTGTGGTTCCAGCTTAGGACCCTGTCCACTGCTGCCAGG